CTGACCTCAAGCGATCCTCCTGCCTTGGACTCCCAGAGTGCTAGGATTACAGGCGTGAGCCACCGCATCCAGCTAGAGATCTGTTTTTATGGTGGACAGAGACAAAAACAACAGAGCTCAGCTGTTGTTGAACTTTCAGGGCCTTTGGCCAGGCAGCTCTGGGAGGCTGCAGCCCTCACAGTGCTCCAAGTTGTCTTCTACAATTCTCACGGCTCTCGGCTGCTTCTCTCATTCTGGCTTAACCCCACAATCCCCTGAAGAACAAGCAGGTGTTTCTAATTGTAAGCCATTTCTACCACAAGTTCTGACAAGCCAGATCTGACTCTGCTCTCCTTTTGTTTGGCAGCTCTTTTGTGACAGGGACGGCTTGTTGTGGGCACTTCTCACCCCTGAGAATCTGGGACCTCAACAGGTAAGAGATTCCTGAGCCCACTATGGCTTCCAGTGGGGGCGGGGCTGGGGCAGTGGGAGGCAGAGGAAAGAACTAGCTGAGCCAGGCCCGGCCTCAGTGGGCCACATGGTCCAGAAGGAGGCTGGAAATGACCCTTCCCCACTACCCACTGACAGCCTCCTCTGTGGTGCCTTCTCACATGGAATGGTTCAGGGTTAGCTTAAGGAGACTGTTGAAGTAATTTATAATAAGTAAATAGTTTTGTGTAGAATTTATGATAACAACAGCAATTTGGATTTATGATACTCTTTCTCTGAGGAGTGCCTATGTGGCTACATAAAATCCCATCTATCCTCAGATGATTTTTCTAAAATAAAGGAATTTTGAAGGTGGTCTGCAGACCCATAAAAAGAATCATACAAACAGTTAAAATACATTTAGGTTTTATTCACAATTCCCGGCCTTGTCAGGCTTGACATATTTCCATCTGATTATTTGCTGTTCTGTTGGTTTTTTTTTAACTTTTTATTTTGAAATAATTGTAGATCCACAGAAAGTTACAAAAATAGAATGGAGAGGTACCCATGTAACATCTTACATAATATAGTATACTATCAAAACCAGGAAATAGACATTGGTACAATCCACAGACCTTTATTGAGAATGAGACTACAAAGGGGTGTATAAGGGATCTTTGTGCCGATGGAACTTGATTGTGTATCTTCATTGTGGTGGTGGTTACCTGAATCTGCACATGCGATAAAACTGCACAGAACTAGACACACACACATACATACATACTCACACTCCTCTTATCTCTAATTCCTGGCAACCACTTATGTACTTTCCATCTCTGTAATTTTTTCATTTTGAAAATGTTAAATAAATGGAATCATACAGTGTATCACTTTTCAAGATTGGCTTTTAAAAAAGCATATTTCCCTTGAGACTCATAGAAGTTTTTGCATGTATCAATAGCTTGTTTGTTTTTATTGCTGAGTAATATTCCACAGTATGGATATGCCAGAGTTTCTTTTTTTGAGACAGAGTCTCGCTCTGTTGCCCAGGCTAGAGTGCTGTGGCGTCAGCCTAGCTCACAGCAACCTCAAACTCCTAGGCTCAAGCGATCCTCCTGCCTCGGCTCTTGAGTAGCTGGGACTATAGGCACGCGCCACCATGCCTGGCTAATTTTTTCTATTTTTAGTTGCCCAGCTAATTTCTTTCTATTTCTAGTAGAGGCAGGGTCTCACTCTTGCTCAGGCTGGTCTCGAACTCCCAACCTCAAGTGATCCTCCTGCCTCGGCCTCTCAGAGTGCTAGGATTATAGGCATGAGCCACCACTCCCAGCCAGTTTTCAATTTTTTGACTACTGCAGATAAAGCTATCGTGAACATTTTTGTACAGGTTTTTGTGTGGGCATGTATTTTCATTTCTCTGGGATAAATGCCAACGAGTATAATTGCTGGGTTGTTTCGTAAGTGTATGTTTAGTTTTTTACCTGCCAAACTATTTTTCGGAATATCTTTACCATTTTGCATTCCCACCAGCAATGTATGAGAGATATAATTTCTTCACATCCTCACCAGCATTTGGTATTGTCACTATCTTTTATTTTAGCTATTCTAATGGGTGTTACATCTCATCATGGTTTTAATTTGAATTTCCCCTAACAGCTAATGATGTTGCACATATTTTCATGTGTTTGTTGATTTGCCATATATTTCCTGTATATCCTCTTTGGCAAAATGTCTGTTCATGTCTTTTGCCCATTGGTTTGTTTGCTTTTTTTTTTCTAATGGAATGCTTCATGAATTTGCATGTCATCCTTGTGCAAGGACCATGCTAATAATCTTCTCTATACCCTTTCAATTTTGGTATCTGTGCTGCCAAGGCAAGCACTCTTTGCTTTTTTTACCATTGAGTTTTGAGAGTTCTTTATATATTCTAGATATTAATCCTTTGTCACATATATGGCTTGCTAATACCTACTCCAAATCTGTAGCTTGTCTTTTTATCCTCTCAATAGAATCTTCTGCAGAACAAAATTTTGATGCAGTCCAAATTATCAACTTTTTCTTTTATCAGTCACTCTTTTAGTACCAAGTTTAAGAACTCTTCACGTAGCCCTAGGTCCCCACATTTTGTGTTTTTAAATGCCAAATTTTACAGTAGTAGTGAAGATGTGTTTGTCCTGCCTGCCTCCTACCTTAGTTGCTCTAGCCTTTTCTTCTCCTTTTTTCTCCATCTGCACAGGAAAGCATTAGCCATATCTTTTTTCTGAAAAATCCAGTCTATAGTCAGTCTTTCCAAAAGATTTTTTTTTATAACACAAGATGTTTTAATTAAACATGGTTTTTTCTACAACACTCTCTTTTGATGATCATCCAAGAACAGGGATAGGAAACTTGCTACTTGCCAAAACAACACATTTCATCTTTGGATAGCCCTGAGAGTTAGAATGCCCACCCTCTATCACAGGTTGATTTGCTTCCTAGAGCTGTGATCCTGGACAAGAAGCAAGTTGAAGGCCTAAAGGACGGGCCTTTCAATATCAGAAAACTTTGGTTCTGCTCCTCCAGGGTCTTCCCTTTTCCAGGCCAAAAGTTGTAGGTCTTTCAATTGTTCCTCATAAACATAGTAGATCAGTTAGCCATACCTTTTGGCTGTAAGTAATGAAGACCTAATTCAAAGTAGCTCCAACAATAATGGGATTATTACTATCTTAGATGACAAGGAACCCAGAAGTTAGGTGGTTGGGTGATTCCAGGGTTGACGGTTCAGTAGCTCAATGAGACCAAGAGGGCCCATATTCTCTTAGCTTTCTGCTTCGCCACCCTAGTCAAGGTGGCTTTTGCTCTCAGGCTTGTTTAGGGCAGCTCCACCAACTCACAAGGCAACACTCAAAGGGAAGAAGCAAAGAAAAGAATATATCCTTGCCTGGGGTCCCTTCTTAAGATTAGGAGACCTTCCCTATTAGCCGCCAAGCAGACTTCTCCACACATCTAATAGCCAAAATTGTATCCAGTGCTCAACCTACACAAAACCCTGTCAAGGGGAATGGAATGACCAGTCAAAATTCAGGCTTCTTCCTGGGCCTGGGGAAGAGCCCAGCTCTCCCCCTCTTACACGTTAGCAGGAAGGGGGAATAGGGTGGCACAGAAGCAGGGTTTGGTCAGCAAGAGAGAATGGGAGGAATGGCTGGATGGGTGACCTATAGTGTTGGTCTTACACTGGTTTCAGGACCATTCTCACCTGAAAGTTTCTCTAATTTATCTGGTGTGATTTTGAGATGGTGTATTCATAACTGAGTACCGAACAGACCAGGTGTGGTCTGATGAGTGGCAGGTGCTGTCACCTCCCTCATTTTAAATCTTCTACTTTTGTTAATGTAGCCAGTGGTTGCATCACACTGTTGCCAGCCTAGCTAGAACTTCCCAGGGCTCCTTTTTCCTTTAGCTCAGGGATGTTAGAGTTTCTGCAAGCTATGAAATTTGTTCCCATGAGTTCACCCTGACAAACTCCTACCACTGGCCCTTCTCCCTTCTGAGTGGAGCTGGGGCAGGCGGAGCCCGTGCCCTGGTGAGGAAGAAGCATGCCAGGGCAAGTTTGATGGGCAGCTGTGAGCTGCTATGGAGGGAGCACCAGCTGTGTGTCCAGACAGACCTGGGCTCCAGAACTACTTTGCCGCTTATTAGCTCTGTAATCTGGGGCTTCTTGGGGCTTCAGTTTCCACATTTGTAAAGTGGGAATTAATTATCCCTACCTAACAGAGGTAGTATGAACAAAATTATTGTGAAAAAGTACCCCACACGGTGCCTGTAACCTCGAGCAAGCTAGCTCCTCCTTCCCTCTCTTCCTCCCCCCTCACAGTTATTTCCACATTAGTACTTGGAATTTTTGGAGGCTCAACCTTTTAATCCTCAAGATACCTGTAGCCTGGTGACCAGGGGACAGGGAGGTGAACCTGATGACCTCGTGGTATAGGAAAGGCTTTTGACAGTAAGTTGCAGATCACAGAGGTGGGAATGTCTGCTGGAAGTCAGTTTTACTTGGTCATGTAGCTGGGCCTTGTGCTTGGCACCTCACCTGCCTGGGCCCAGAATGACACACAAGCTGGGGGGTGGCTCGCTGGGGGTGGCCTGGAGGTACCCCCGTGCCTCAGCTTCATCTTGAAGGTTGGGTAATCTTTGAGTGGCCCCTTCTGCATATGGTGAAGGGTACTCTTGGGCACAGATTTATGGTCAGGATGGAGTTCTAAGGCACCAAGTCTCTGAATGTTATTCTGTTATGAAATCAGTAGACCTCACTAACCCTGACCACTGGATCTTTACTGAAACCAGAATAAACCCAAATGACAGCTATGACTGTGATTCTCACTGGAGCCAGATGAGAAATGGCCACTGCATCCTCTGGCCAGCCCACGGGCTCTGCTGCTTGTGGTATCGCTTGGCATTGCCTTCTCTCCTGCCCCCAGGCTGCTGTCCTCACCACTGGGAGGGGCCAGGCCTTATTTAAAAATCTATCCTATCCTCAGAGAAGCTTGGAGGACTGAGCGGTGCAGGGATTGAGGAAAGACACCCTGGTGGAAGCATCTGTTTTTTGTGGGAGGAAATGGATGGACAGGATGACTCTGCGGAGCAGTCTTGCCCAGGGAAGCCCAAGCAGATAATAAAGCCATGTAGAAAATAGGATTAAGGTAATAAACAGGCAGGACAGAGTTTGATCTTTCAATATCACCAAAGCCTGACTGACAGGCCAATCCGTGAGGTGGAGTAGCATCGCCGGCAGGACTCGGGGCTGGGCGGTGTGCATGCTGGATGGATTCTTTGCTTTTAACTTGTCACCACTGAAACCTGAGGAGCGCCTGGATTTTCTCTTTTATGTGTGTGCTGTGACTTGGGTGAAGGGGGAGAGTACTGGAGGGCAGTTTCCCCTTGAGCTTTGCCCCTCCAGGGGCTGCCCTCAGGATGATGGTGGGGGCTGGGACACACTCAGAGCTGTAGCTGCCCCCATTGGGGAGC